GGGGATGATGATGGAGATGGAGGATGAGGGAGGAGCGAGACAGCACAGTGCAACTCCCACGCAGACTCCAGCGCACGTACTCCAAAATTGTGCGAATGTAGAATGATGATGAAAACGGACAACTGTTGGGGTATACCCCAGCGGACTGACGAGACTAGACTGGATTGGCTGGTACCGACAGAGGTATCGGCCTGGCCTGGACTGGACTGCCCCCGAATAGAACAAAAGCCTGTGAGAACAGGCCAAGGGGCTGGTCTCACAGGCCAACCAGAGGTCCGCTACACCATCCTACCACTAACCCACTCTCCCCCAACCTCTTTTCTCTTCCCCCCCCATCATCTACTCATCTTTTCTAACCCTACCACTACTCTCTCCTCCTACCTCTCTCTTCACTCATCTTCCACAACCTTTTTCTCTCCTCTCCTCCCCACTCACCATCTTTTACTAATCTCATCTACTCCTCTTCACCTTTTCTGTATCCTTCTCTCTCATTCTACCACCCTCCTCTCCCTCTTCCCCCCCGCTAACTACAACTGTGTATAAGAGACAGGTGCATAGGCAGCAGCAGCCAACGGGGGGGGGGGGAGGAAATAGCCAGCATGACACCTCTTCAACACGAGTGTGCCGTACTACAAGGCCATGCACACACTGTGGCGAGTGTGTTATGAGGGTGCTTACGCACGCGCATGATCCAGCAGGCGCCTGGGTTCAAACCCCAGCGGCGGCAAACATCCCGGATCTTGAATAAAGTAATCCGGGAGCGGGGCGGGGCGGGGCACCAGGGCAGCGTGGGCGCGTGGCGCGCGCGCGTGCTGTCTTCCCTGCTGTACGGGTCGCTGTGCCAGCTGTACGATCACGGCTGTACAGGGTGGTGGGTAGGAGCGCGGAACGTTCCCGCTCCGATACCAATGTAGCGGACCCACCAGGTGTGGTGCTCCGCTGGGGATGATGATGGAGATGGAGGATGAGGGAGGAGCGAGACAGCACAGTGCAACTCCCACGCAGACTCCAGCGCACGTACTCCAAAATTGTGCGA